TGAGCTGGAACCAATTACCCAATATCCCATTGAAACAATGGTTTCGGTTAACGAAATTTTCAGTTAACAAAAGACCTCCTGGAACGAATTGAGTTCGTTAACCGAGGGACCACTGTACTGTACAGTAGGCTCTCATATTTGGACACCTATTTAGACTGTAAAAACCTCTCAAAATTCAAATCGTCCAAATTTATATACTACTGCCTATGGAGAAATTAATTTGAGTCTGGTACTTTCAATGTTTGGCTAAATTTTGCCTTTTTTACCCTACTTTTTGGGCGAATTGCTACCTGTAATAAAGCATCATCCTAATAAATGAACTAAAATAACACATAAAGTTAAATAAAAACAAAATTAGCACAAAAAAGTTTTTATGTTCTACAGCTTCAGCTAGAGTTGAACCTGATTTCTTGGCAACTTTGTCATCCGAGTAAAAACACACACAACAACATTGGCTGTCCTTATGTTTTCAACTTTACCACCACTGGTGGGTAGAATTTTTGTTTTAAATTCAGAAATATTAATTAAAACATATATGAACAGTAAATAAGTGTTGCTTTCATATTCTTATGTAGTGTAATGACGAATGTTTCACATGTGCGCACTTACGTACACGCAGTCTCACTTTTTTCTTTGCCATTAGTGGTTGGCTACTTCTATTGTTCCATTTATTAACATTAAATAACATTACTTAAAACAACCATATTAATTTTTTTACTTTAATTTTACTACAGCTACAACCATGGTCTTATTTTCTTCAGTTTTATATGTAGAACCAGTCAGTCACTGCTTCTGTAAGCATTAACGAAAACAATGTGGTCTCATCTCCTCGTGTGTTTTAATATTCTACGTATTATTAATGAATTGTATTGTTCATTTTTCACACTGAAACCCGTCGAAATTTGAAATTGTGCAGTGTTTTTTTGTGTCTCTAACACAATCAGAGGAGATGTTTTGAATAAAAGTTTATACCTGTATACTTTTTTACTAACACCCTCGTGCCTCAAAAATACTTTAGCTTTCGTATTTATTCAAGACATATTCAGGTCATAAGACCCCATTACAGTAATCCCCACCCAACAATCGATGACCTGACATTGCATCAGGTGAGTAATGACACCACTAATCCCCCACCCTACCTCCACCGTACATTGCATTAGGTCAGGTCAGTTACATGAGACTCACTAATCCCCCACAGCTCCATGGGAGTGGAAAATGCCAGTCTTTGCTGTAACACACAGCTTCATTCTTGTCCGTATCATTTATATTTCTATTTTTTTAAATAAGTTTATTTAAACTAACTTTTAGATAAGCTATTCAGGATTTTTCTAGTAAAGAAATGGAGTTTCTAGCTTAATTAGAACTGCTTTTATGGACTACTGTAGTAGTTTAGAATCTTGAAAAACTTTCCCTAGCACCCAGAAATATTCTGAGGATGTGGGCAAGTGTCTGTCGGTGCAAGATGCATAGTTTAGACTTTTGGAAATTTTTCCCAGTAACGGGAAAAATTTCCGTGGATAAGGAATTTTTCTGGGTTTAAGAAAGTCGTCTGGATACCCGGAAATCTCTCATTCCCAGGAACTACTCTGCACTAATTGTTCCGGCAAATGGGGATATCACTGAATTATATTCTTAGACACATTACAAATGTGTGGAATGCAGATGGCATGGGTTAAGCACTGTCGCTGGAAACAAAACACAGCTTACTACTGGTAATAAATCTGGTACAGTAGAATGTCGATTTAAAGCGATACAATTTAAGATTATTGATTTAAAGCGACACCCACAATTATGGACAATGTTTTAATTTAAAGCTAATCTTTCCTATTTTGCGCGAGCCAATCTGGCGCATCATATTTTAAAATATGCGCCTAATGTTTCTCTGGGCACGCTACACTGTCCTAAGGGCAAAGCTGTACTCTACATGTACGTACTCAAAATAATGTACTAAATGATAACTAAAATTTTTGTCTAGTGCAAACTATAGCATGTTTATATTCAAATTAATCACTATCTTATAAGAATTCCAGCAATGTTAATTATATCTCCCATATCAGTTCAGTGACATTTTACAAGAGAAAAACTTAGTCACTCTTAAGGACAGATAAATAAATAAATAAGCAATAGACCTTGCAACTGTCAACTTATCACCTCACCTCCCACCCCCCCTCCCCCTCATCTTCCCAGCCAGTAAACAGACCATTTTGCATCCCTTAATTTTAGCTGTGTTGATTTATGAGTGTTTCTTTTAACAGAATACTACAAAAAACAATGTTTTGTTTATTCTAGGAGGTGGGCTGAGGTGCATCTGGGTAAACTCAGTCTTTTTAGTATTTTGTGTTTCTCTCAAATACCAAAATAAATTATTCCATTAATACAACACTTCGATTTAGTGCGAATTTGGTTTAAAGTGACCTCTCTTGGAACGTATCTCACGTTACAGTTGTACCCCACTTAACGCGGTCAATTGAACCCAGAGGGTCCCGCGTTAAGTGAAATCCGCGTTAAGTGAACAACAGAACATATGGGATTAATTCCAATAGAAACCGGCCCGACCCCCAAACTCCACTTTTTGAAGGCACATACCTATGTTGTAGTAAAAATAACATCTTAATTTTATGATGGTACATGCACACAATTAATACTTAAGAGAAATAGAGAAATACAGTCGCCAAGTTAATGTCCATTCAAATAATGGACTCAACCTTGCCTCCCCCCCTCTTCCAACCGCGCGGTCAGTCCCAACCCTCCCCCCCACCCCCCACCAATCCTCCCTTCCAGGGTTTTTAACATTTAGTATTAAATAATACCTCAGATTAAAGTTAGGATAATATAATTGACATTGCTGGATTCCTTGTAAGACCAGGAATATTTTGAATATAAATGTCATATATTTTGCACAAAAGATAACATAGTTAATTTGAGAAAAATTTTTATCTAAAATTTGTATGTCTAATGCAAAAATATGATGTTTATATTCAAAATGATCATCAAATTATAAGAATTCCAGCAATGTAAATTATATTCAGACCGGGTAATTTGTATGAATTTTATGAGCTAAAACAAATATCTTCAGTTAATAAAAAAAAAAAAAATAATTCTTCACAGGGTAACAGATGGTCGGTCGGTCCCTCCCTCCCCCCCACCCCCCACCAACCGTCCCAAGGAGATGTGTGGGATAACCACTAAATTTTAATAAATAATACCTCAAACTAAAGTTAGGATAATATAATTGACATTGCTGGATTCCTTGTAAGACCAGGAATATTTTGAATATAAATGTCATATATTTTGCACAAAAGATAACAGTTAATTTGAGAAAATTTTTTATCTAAAATTTGTATGTCTAATGCAAAAATATGATGTTTATATTCAAAATGATCACCAAATTATAAGAATTCCAGCAATGTAAATTATATTCTGGCCGGGTAATTTGTATGAATTTTATGAGCTAAAACAGGCAGTCAGGCAGGGTGGGGCAAATCTAAAAATAGCATCTCGAGCCGGACACTCACCGCGTATATGTGGAAAAAATCCGTGTTAAGTGAAAGTTCAGCTCTGGCGAGGCACCGCGTATATGATAAAACGCGTTAAGTGAAACCGCGTTAGGCGGGGTAATACTGTATATCGACGTTCTACTGTATGATTACAAAATATTAGGAATTACAAAGAACCAATATAATTCACATCCAGTGCAAAAAATAAACCAATTATTACAAGTAGTAATATCTCCGTTAGCCGGAATTTAAAGTTTCTCGGAAAATCGTTCCCAAAGCCAGAATTTTCCGGAAAATTCCAGCTTTTGGAAAGATTTTCCGAGGGGCACATTTTCCGTAAAATTCTGAGAAAATTTTTCCGGAACTCGGAAAATTCTGGGGATGGGGTAATTTTTTCCCGGCTTTGAGAGCATCATCTTGTTACCCGGAAATCTCTCATCCCAGGAAGTGCTCTGCACCAATTGCTCCGGCTAACGGAGATATCACTGTACAGTACAGTCTTCCCTTGGTTATAGTGCACTTGGTTATCACAATTTTCGTTATCATGCCTCCATCAAAATCTGCACTCCTGCTGTTATAGCGCATTTTTCAGGCCGAGAATTTAGTTATCACGCAGTTGCCTCCAGGTGTATTGTTACCCCCTTGCTTCACCTACATCTGTTGAGGATAAAATCTTTCACCTACAAATTGCTGTAATCAGACATATCTAAGTTGCCTCAACAATTGCAACCCCAGTTGCAATTTCAAATTCTGTGTCATTACTAAGGAATAATGAAGTCTCAGGTGCACTCTAAGATTGAAAGAAAACGGAGAACTCAGGCGTCCTGAAGCGATGAGAAAACGGACTCCTCAGACGGGGGATTCAAATAAAGAAAGCATAGCTACATGTTTTGTGGACTACAGTATTAAGTGTACCCTTTTCATCACTTTGTAATAAACCTAGCTATGCCTATGTGTGTTTATGATATTTACCATAACATTATCTCTATCTTTAGTGGGTCTAAATGGTCGTAAAATGGGAAAATTGGGTTGGGTCTTGGGTGCCTGGAACCAATTAGAATAAATCCCATAGGTTCTGTACTTTTGTTATCGCGATTTTCGTTATCACGCACTCAGTGCGGTCCCAATTAGACGTGATAACCAAGGGATGACTGTACATACATCTTTCATTTATACTTGGTTCAAAGAAAATTGCTCATGCAATGGTGACTGATACAAAATGAATATACTGCACACATCTTGATATTATGTAAATACATGACATATGTAACACTGCACACTTTCCACATAACAGTGTTCTTGCATACTGTACGTATGTGACATGGTCTCTGGGCATATTTCTTAGCCCATATTGAAGTCAGCAAACTTGGGAAGTGGTGAGGAGGTAGTGGCAGGGTGTGTGTGGGTGTAGTGGTGGCAGGGTCAGTAAACAGCCCTGTGCCTAATTGAACTTGACCCAGGTCTCTAATGCTCACACACTACAGCTTAGTCAATACTTTTCAGAGTGACTCACATGATCTCAGAACTTAGAGATATGGGACAACTAAGCCGGCTGTATCCTTCACTCTCATCATATCATCACATCAAAGTTGTCTCCATGCAGTGGCTGTACAGTTGTGTCAGGTAATGTTTTGAAACTGTAGTAATACTTAATACAGCATGGTAGTGTTTATAGCCTATTTTTAAGTTACATGTACACGAGTTATGCGTAACCTGTACATCTGTCCTCTGTAAAACTCGTGTTTTTTTTTTTTTACAACATTCAGAACGAGTGACAAAAGTACAATCTTCTCGAGGACTGTAGCTCACTGTCGGAATTAACAGTGTTCTTGTTTATTTGTTTTTTATGTCCTTGTACTGTGGGATTTTCAGTGTTATTCTCATTTAAATTCATGACAATAAAATTTCTGAGAATGACGTGGATTTTATGAACATATCCACCTCATAGCCAGAAGTACAGGTATCCCATGTTTAACGATGGAGTTGCGTTCCTGAAAACTTAACATTAAGCAATATTATCACTAAATGAGGGATAACCGTAAGGCTCGGAGGGAGAACAATAGATTCAAACGGAAGGGCGGTAAATGCTGAGTACAATACTGTACTCCCTAATAGTAATAATAAGCGAGTTTGTTATAAATTATTTAATGAGACAGAACACAATGAGAAGATTACAGTTATAAGTAAGACTAGAGAGTAGGAATGTAAAGATAGGAAACTTGGTAGCGTGGCCGGGATTTTATTTACTCAGCGTCAATACGCTTATCTTCTTATCTCGTATGTCAATACACATATATTACTTCTTAAAGGGACAACTTGTTAAATACCTCTTCGACACAACTATTTATTAATTCACTTAATGACATGGACACATCAATATCACTATTATATCGGGGTATTAACACATTAGGTCTAACGTTACTCGACACTGACTCTCGGTTACAGCATGAATGAATATACTTCCCACAGTAGGTAATTCACCCTAGGGATAGTTCTGACAAGACTCACGTGTACCCTGACGTAGGCCCAGTGGGTGCTTGGCTGGGCTGCCTCCTATGGGAGGCTTCGGCTTAGCTGGGGTCTGGTCGGGAAGTCCCCCTCCTGATCTGGGGAGAGGATGAGGGTGACTCTGGGAATCTCCAGAGTAATGAGCGTCTCCTCAGAATGTTCGAATGACAACTAGGATCAGAATGAGAATCAAAATCAGAATGATCGTGGACGGGACTGTAGGACCTTTATATGGGGTCGGCCCAGCCGGCTTTTGACATCTAACCAATTATCACTAAACTGGTTAGATCTGGACAGGTGTTTGCCCAGGTGAGGTCATGTCGCAGGACAGTAGTGCTTTGTAATTATTACCGCCCGGGTGGGTCTTGGCCAGGTGTGGTTTCCTTAACACGGTTATATCGTAGGGTTACGCAAGTACTTAGGCCGGGGTCAGGTCTTGACCTGTGGTGTGTCAACCTGTGGCGTTAGGGTACCACGCGGTCTGTACTGTACTTGCTGTTATATGTGATGTAATTCTGGGCTGTAAGCTTTGGTCTGACATACAATCAATACACCTTCCGCCAAGACCAAAGCTTCATCACAGAGGCTGATGTCACATACGTATAGACAGCAACATCACGTGTAGTATCAAAGATAGTCCCTGGGGCGATAACATAGTCTCACATTTGCAAACAACAATCTCATAGGTGTATGTTTTTCTACTGGCGCTAGTTTGATCTGGCAAATCTCACTATACCTCCCGCCAAGGTCAAAGCTTCTATGTCAGGAGAAAAAGGAAACATAGCAAGTCAACATAGAATGAAAAAATCCTTCATGTCTAGCATTGTATCCGAGACAAACTTGCAAATCAAAACAACAACAGGTGTTACATCTCCTTATCAGCCCATGTCAAAATAATAATTCATCTCAGTCAGTAATATGGCTACAACATCGTGTTTCATCGTGCAAAACATTGATCAAATGAACTCATAGGGAAAAGTGAGACTAAAAAAAGACATTCTTTGCAGTAAACATCAACAAAAATCAGAGAAAATACTTCAAAATACACAAAAAATGGTCCTACTTCACATATTAGGGTATTACACATCGACAACATCAACAACATCAGTACATTAGTTGGGTCCGCATGGCTCACGTCTTCCATCCAGCTGGTATCTGAAAAATAGGGAATGCCGGCAGTACAGCTGCTGTTGTGGGTTGGTCGTTCTGATGATCCACCTCTTCATCATCGTCTTTCTTCTTATTTCAGCACAGCACATCTTCTGTCTTCTTTCTTCAATACACGTCTTCTGTCTTGTTTCTTCACATAGCACGTTTTTCTTTCTTCAATGCCACACCTTGTAGGTCGTTTCTCCACACCTTCTGACTTCTTCTCACTTCCTCCTGGTTTCTATACTATTCCAGACGAGTTTTCTGTCCCATCTGCGTTCTTCCTCTATGTTTAGAACCTCATTTTCAACATCTTCTAGATGAATTTTCTGTTCCCATCTTCCTTTTTCTCAGTACATCATCATTTTCAACATATTCCAGACGATTTTCTGTTCATCTGCCGTTGGCCCCCTCCGGCTGGGATGAAGGCCGGTCCTTTGCTTGGGCTGTCGTCTCCTTTTGACCTCTAACCAATTATCACTAAACTGGTTAGATCTGGACAGGTGTTTGCCCAGGTGAGGTCATGTCGCAGGACAGTAGTGCTTTGTAATTATTACCGCCCGGGTGGGTCTTGGCCAGGTGTGGTTTCTTTAACACGGTTATATCGTAGGGTTACGCAAGTACTTAGGCCGGGGTCAGGTCTTGACCTGCGGTGTGTCAACCTGTGGTGTTAGGGTACCACGCGGTCTGTACTGTACTTGCTGTTATATGTGATGTAATTCTGGGCTGTAAGCTTTGGTCTGACAAACAATCAATACAATTTTGAAGTTAAACAATTGATTTATTATCACCAAACTTCTAGATAAATGATGTGGTTCAGATGTAAACGATCTAGTGAGGGATAGATAAACCTAATTCAAACAAATTTCAAATTGGATACGTCAGAAATTAACAAAAAATGATCTGATAAGCAATAAAAATTGATATATAGCATATCAGAATATACAACAGTACTGTATTTATTTTATGTAAAAAAAATAGCTCCTTTCACACTCAAACCATCCCCTGGGCTATGTGACACAACTCAGCTTGGCAGTCGCCCAGCCGACTCCGAGACGAATGTGTGTGCATGCCATTAGGTTACATCAGGGGACAGAGCGCAGCTGGGCTAGCAAATCGGTGATGCAGTTACAGCCCATTGCTTCCACACATGCATTGACTTCCCATACGTACAAACCCATGCTCTTAATTTTTATTATTTTATAGTTGTATGTTATATTTCTCAGGTGTCCCCCACATTACGGAAACTCAGGTTTCGGATATACGTACACTAGAAAATGGATTTACTTTCTCCCTGTGTGGTTCATTCTCTTTTTTTAGAGCATGCCTAACAGCTCTAAGTCGGATGCAGGGGTGGGTTTTGGGGTAGTCTTTCCTGAATTGTCGGGGAGGTAGTCTCTCCACTATGCCATCTATTTTTACTGCAAAGCTTTCGGGTATTTTACTTGCCCTCAAGATTATTTTTACACAACCTCATAATGATTTTTAAAATTTTTTGCGATTCTCGTAGTGGTCACCAGGCCTTAGCTAGTGTCTCATTGCCACATCCCTTAGGTATAAAGATTTTACAGTGGCCATTTCTCATCCAATGTCGGAGCCGGAAAGTCAGTTTTTGCTGGGTTCTGGCCCATGTGGAGGCGAAGGGGAATGAATGTACTGATGCTGTAGCAAAAGCAGCTGCTTCTCACCCTGTGGCACATAATTCCTCTCTACCTGCCCTGATATGAAGCCAGTAATAGAAGCTACCATCCACTTGAGTTGGCAATGCAGATGGGAGGCTGTTGGACCAAACAAGCTCCGCAAACTCCACTCTGCATTTGGTGCCTGGTAATATCAGGGACTGTCACTCCGCTGGGAAACTGCTTTGGCCCGTTTCCTCATTGGCCACACATGGCCGACTCATGGATTTTTAATTGAGAGGGTGCCCCCTCCCCATTGTGATGACTGCCTGGTCCTAATGACTGTTGGACACCTGGTGGAATGCCCCAATCTCAGAGATCTTCATCATAAGCATCTCTCCAGGTGCCGAGAGGAGACGGGTCTTACTGTCTCTCTTTGGTGCTTAAGGGGGGGGGGGGGTTGTAGCATGGGAGGGGACGTCCTTTCCAGGCTTGGATCACTTAGTAATTGTAATTGAAACCTTGTTGTAATTAATTTCACAATTCTGAGAAATTTAAATGTATTTGTAATTGAACTTAGAGAATAAAAAGTAATTGTAATTACAATTGTAATTTGCTGTTCAAGTTTAATCCAATTACAATTATGCCTTGAAACTTAGACATTATGAAATTTGAAGGATTAATTAAATAGTCACTTCCAATAATCGTACGCCCAGCGGCCCAGCGTGGAGCCCACTATGACGCTCGGCGCTCAGTGTTGACGGTGCCACATCTAGGATTGAGTGGTGTACGTACTGGGACTACTGGCAAAGGTTGAGCTTATTGGAAACAAAGTAAGTTTTGGTCTGCATCTTACTTGTTTTTATTATTTGCCTTAGTTGTGTAACCCATTCAGAAGTGATGTAGCAAGTTAGTGTTTTGCTGTGGCTAACACCACAAAATTTTATTTAGCTTACGGAATTCTAGTACAGCTCCTCCCCGACTTACGACCTGCCTCAGTCGTACCAAAATTTTGTCAAGTTACGCATTTTCGAGTCCCAACGTCAGTACACAGACAAAATTTTCGTTTGTAATTCACTTTAAAATGGCTGGCAATCTTAAAAGTGAGAGTTTTGTGGTGCTGAGAAGAAAAAGAGACACTCATTTCAGATTTTCTATGTATTATTTAAGCATTTTTGACTTACTACCATTTTGACTTACGACCATTTTGACTTACGACCATTTTGACTTACGACCATTTTGACTTACGACCTGGATTTGGTTCCCTAACCCCGTCATAAGCTGGGGAGGAGCTGTACAATGTATCTACACCCCTGAAAAGATAAATGCTTACGTAAAAATTATACT